CAATCTTGCATGCCTTTATGTGGTACAAAGCCTATAAATATTAAATCAATTCTCAAAGACAATTTACAAAATACCTGGCCATTTGGATTAATTGGAGGGAGAAAAATACTATGAACAGACTGGGAGTGTTTCAGGAAACATGTCACAAGCCTCATAGCTGGAAAGTCCATGTTCTTGCTGTTTGGTTGTATGAGTGCTTACAAGGCCAAAGTAAACTGAAATGCACTGGGTTACGGAACAGCAGATATTTTAAATCTACTTCATCCAACACACTACTAGCTGGCCTTTCCTAGGTCAGCATAGATTGATTTCCCCCTCCTGCAGCACATTCCCCACCTTACCCCATTCCAGTGTAATAATAGTTTTAAAGAGTCACCTGTCTCTGTTAGGAATGATGGCCCTCCAGTGTCGTGTTGTGTTGTGTTGTACTGTTTGGACAGAGTGGGTAGCACCAGATGCAGTGGGCATTCTTTTTGATGGGCATTTGGGAAGAGACGTGCTTGGTCAGAAAACTTGAACTCAGAAAACAGACTTTAGACAGGAATAGGGACTCACGTTGTCTGCTCTAGCTTGAGAGTGCTCCTGGGTATAAGAACCTAACATGCCATGTGGAAGCACAGTCCTGGGTGGGCCAGAAAATGCAGAGTTCTTTGCTGGGCAGGATTGTCCTGCATACTGCAGGGCTTTAGCATGCGTGTGGAAAGCCAGCTAAATGCAGGTATTCCTCCAACACCACCCCTACTGAAAAGTGTCCCCATAATATCCAAGCATGGAGGATCCCAGCCAGAAAATATCTCAGATTTTCCAGTCTTCCATTCCAGTTGTTATTTTGAGCTGATTTTAATTGTTGCAGCCAAATGTCAGTTATCCCACAAGGAGAAGCTCAAGGTATAAGAGTAGGCCCCCCGACCCGTGTGGAGATTCCTCTTCCTCTGTGGTGCTGGGAGGATCTTGGTTTGATGGTAATAGCGAAAGAATGGCCTTCCAGGGCTGCTCCATAAATGAATGATCCTCTCAGAGGAGCGTTTCGTTTATTCATTCCTCCAAGAAGAATTTATATCCCAGTGCCTACCGCATGTCAACGGAGCAAGATAGACAATGTCCCTCTCACAGAAACTGATGTTCTAGCAGAGACAAACAATGCGTACGTTCCCAAACAAGACATCTGCAGATAGTGACAAGTGTCATAATGTCATGATGATTACATAACCCAGTAAAGGGCTACTGAAGGTACAGAGGAACTACTTTACTTATTTAATAAATTTTTTTAGTTCTAATTTTAATTCCAGTATAATTAACATACCGTAGCATATTAGTTTCAGGTTTACAATATAGTGATTCAACAATTCTATGCATTACTCAGTGTAGTACAGAGGAACTACTTTAGGTCCCATCACCAGGCAAGACCTCCCTGAGGGAAAAAACATTCCAGCCCCCAGTGCATCCATGCCAGCATGTTTCCTAGCACTTGCATCTATAAAAATAAAAAATAAAAAATAGGGGTAGTATGGATGCTGAATCCTATCTTATTCTAGGAAAGAATTTTATCAATGAATACATTAACTTATTAGGGGGAAAACCTCTTCCTTCTCATTAAGAGATCTATTTCTGTTAAAAATTTTATGTTTTTTTTTTAAAGATTTTATATATTTGAAAGAGAGAGAATGAGAGAGAGAGCACATGGGAGAGGGTCAGAGGAGAAGCAGACTCCCCGCTGAGCAGGGAGCCCGATGTGGGACTCGATCCCGGGACTCCAGGAACACAACCTGAGCCGAAGGCAGTCGCTTAACCAACTGAGCCACCCAGGCACCCTAAAAATTTTATATGTTTAATGGTCATAGAAATTTATAATATATTTGTTATTTTGATCAATATGTACAAATAATTACAGGCTATAACTCAATTGAGAATGAATATTTGATACCTAGATTTTTGTGTCTGGGGAGATTGTTAATTTTTAAAATCTAAAAATGCTAACATTTTATTGATCAATAAAAGATGCTTAAACATAGGGCACCTGGGTGGCTCAGTTGGTTAAGCATCTGTCTTTGGCTCAGGTCAGGATCCCAAGCCAAGGGCCTTGAATCAAGCCCCACATCAGGGAGGCTGCTTCTCCCTCTGCCCCTCCCCACACTCGTTCTCTCTCTCTAGCTCTCTCTCTAATAAATAAAATCTTTTTTAAAAAGATGCTTAAGCATAAAAATATATTACATTAAGATAAAATTCTCTGATAAAAGGAGAATGAAAATCAGAATTTAAGGAGAAAATGGAAAGAAATAAGATTTCTCACTGTTAAAGAAAAACTTGTTTGTATCTTTGTTTAAGTGGACGATGCTGGGTATCAAATTTCCACGATATTTAGATTCCATTGGGTACATTTTAAAGAAGGATGAAAACTATATTTTTAAATGCTAATATTTACAATACATGGGAAAATAAAATTTTGCTATTTGAAAGCTTATGTTGAAAAATCACATGCAAGAGCATATATAACTTTTTCAGATTCCTTTTAGGAAGTTTGAGAGCAAAAAATTAGGATATTATTGGTCTAAAGAAACCTTCTCCTTGGGGCACCTGGGTGGCTCAGTCAGTTAAGCATCTGCCTTTGGCTCAGGTCATGATCCCAGGGTCCTGGAATCGAGTCCTGCATCGAGCCTCACATCAGGCTCCCTGATCAGTGGGGAGTCTGCTTTTGCCCCTGCCCCTGCTCTTGCTCTCTCTCTCTCAAATAAGTAAATAAGATCTTTTTTTTTATTTTAAGATTTTATTTATTTATTTGACAGAGAGAGAACACAAGCAGGGGGAGCGGCAGGCAGAGGGAGAGGGAGAAGCAGACTCCCCGCTGAGCAGGGAGCCCCATGCGGGACTCGATCCCAGGATATTGGGATCACAACCTGAGCCGAAGGCAGACACTTAACTGACTAAGCCACTCAGGTGCCCCAGTAAATAAGATCTTTAAAAAAAAAAAAAAAATCTTTTCTTTACACAACAAACTCTCAAGAATGATGGTCCAATTAGGTAAAGGAAAGCAGGAAATATTTTTGAGAGCCAACTCTGAGATACTTGATAATAATATTATTTTATAATCAACACTACCACTTATTGATGCTTATCATTATGGATTATTTACTGTAGTTTTCACAACTACCCTATAATAAGACAAAAACTGTTCCTTTTATTAGTTGAAGGTAAAGATACTCAGGTTTAGAGAGGTTAAGGGTCTCGCCTGAAGTCCCACACCTAGGAAATACAGCAGTGGGGGTTGGAATCCAGGTGATCCTGGGCGCGGAGGCTTTTCTAGGCCTTCCCACTTGCCACCCTGCCCCCCCCGCCCCCGGCTCCTCACTCTGCAAGTTTTCCGTAGCTCATTGGCCATAAAATAGTCAGGTTCCCTTTCTAACTTATTTTTTGGCACCTTCTCTGGCAAATACATCAAATATATGGTTGAATAGGCTGTATTTATCTGAGACTTCTGCACATTAAGGAAGATTCTATCAATAGTGTCTTTTTTTTTTTTTTATGGCCCTCAGTTTTGATAGGAGAGGCTTTATCTTCATTTGGAGTCAGTTATGTTCAACTGGCTGCCTCTGACCCCTCTTTTTCTGACAAGTCTTTCTGTCAAATAGAGTATCAAGACTGGGTAGAAAATGCTTTGATGGTTTTGAGTCCTCTCCCATTATATTCTTGTTCATAACTGGAAAGGCTGATTATAAGTATATTTCCAATGTAACCTTTAGTGACATATACTGGTAAATGACCCTCTGATTATTATATTGCATCAAGGTTCAAATTATGAGGTTAAGTTAGGGTCAGCCAAAGACATCATGTATTTTCCATAAAATATGTGTGGCCTTGTTCAGAGAGCCCTGTTGTGTCAATTTTAAAAAGAAACAATGAAGTGCACTCATGTTTATAACTGCATTATTTACAATGGCCCAGAGGTGGACACAACCCATCTCCCAGGTGTCCATGGATGGATGAGTGAATAAACAAAATTTAATACAACACATGCACAATGGAATAGTCTTTAACCTTAAAAAGAAATTCCAACACAAGCTACAAAATGGATGAAACTTAAGGACATTGTGCTAAGTAAAATAAACCAGTCACAAAAGGACAAGTGCTATACAATTCCACTTAGGTGAGGTGCTTAGAGGAGGCAGAAAGTAGGACAGTGCTCATGAGGGACCCGGGAGAAGAGAGAAATGGGGAGTCAGTGTTTAATGGGTATAGAGTTTAGTTTGGGGAAGATGAAAAAAGTTCTCATGATGGATGGGGGTGATGGCTACACAATAATGGGAATATATTTAATGCTACTGAACTGTACACTTTAAAATGGTTACGATAATAGTTTATTATATATATTTTACCACAATAAAAAAAATCTATGCAGAAGTTATAGGTGTTTATGAAACAAAGGAATGAATTATAGATTTTTTCAAAAAGTCAATTATTATATTGTAAATTCAAAAGCAAATTGAAAGAAGTATCCTTTGTTAATTAGAAAGTGGCATGTTTGTAGTAGAAATGATGGAAAACAGACACTTTAGTGATTTTATATTTATTTAATATACAAGGAACTACTAATGTATCATAGAATTCAGTAATATGTACATGTGAATTTTTTAAAAAGGTATTTTACTTTAACTCAATCTGAATAGCTATTAAACTGCCATTCAACATAAAAAAATTAACAGTACTTCATAATATGTAACTGACATACTTTCCTGCTGTTGCATTTATTACATTATCTTATACATTTGGGTTTTTCAGGTCTCAGAGAAACCTGAACAGGTCATTCTACTTGCCAGGTATAGGTTGCATCCGATCTTCTTACCTTTAAAAAAAAAGCAGTAAAAATCAAAATATGGCCAATTCTGCTTAGAGCTACAGGGATGTACTTAACTGATACAAGTAAACTTGAAGAAACCTGACCAATGTAATTTTTAGGAGAGAAGACTTCCAGGTGAAGCAATGAGTTCAAATGCTGACTGTGATACTTAGCAGCTGAGTAAGTTTGGGAACGTTCCATAACCTTTCTAGGTCTCAGTTTTTTCCCCCTGAAAATGGAAATAATAGGATACCTTAAAATGGATGTCTGTAAAGCCATTAGTATAGCCTCCGCGCCCAGGATCACCTGGATTCCAACCCCCACTGTTGTATTTCCTAATTTTTTGCTCTCAAACTTCCTAAAAGGAACCTGAAAAAGTTATATGGCCATGTCTGGATTAGAAAGTATTTTGCATTTTAAATTGGTTTTCTTTATAAAGTTTCTTGTTTCTAAGGACCATGCACACATTATATCAAGTCAGGCTGAATACAGTCGTAATGGAAATATGAATATCCTCCCACAGCTTGTTTTCAAATGCAGATGTACTTAAGAAGTGAATTAATAGAAAAAAAAATCAATGTATGCACATATCATCTCCGTATCTGTTCTTGGGTCTCTCCATTACCTTTATGGAATTGGAGACGTTCTCAGTTCCTGGAGTCTGGTTTGCCAGTTCAGCCACCCAGCCAAATTCCTCTCTCATCTTCTCCATCAGATATGTGGTGTCCTCTAGGTGATGCTGGGTCATCTGGAGAACCTGGGCATACTGCTGATGGGAGATGTTGACCAATGCGAGGGCCTCATCTACTTTTGTGTGTAGTTCGGGTACATCAGGACAGTCTAGCAAAGAAGAAAGTCACATGGTAAAGGAAAATGCCCATGGAATTTGGAGTTGGGTGATGTGGGTTTAAATCCCAACTCTTAAGCTTTCTATTTCTATTTCCAGCCTTTGGACCTTCAGTGAGTTTTCAGTTAGGTAAAATAGGCGTGAATGTAATAACACTGTGAACTGTCTGCTCATAGGGCAGGCACACACTGGAGATTTAGCAAATGTTCCTTTTTCTTTTCCTTCTTTCTGTAGTGTCTCTGAAGGGTCATTAGGGCCACTCACTGATTTTCTGATCAGGACACATGGGAGATTGTGCTTCCTGCCACCTTGAAGTTAGGTGTGGCCCTCTTCAAGGTGATGGGTCTTGCTTCTGGAGGAAGCATAAGGAACAATTAAGGATTTATCATGTTCCCTTTCCCCAGATGGCGGAACTAGGTTTGCTCCATGTACTAAGGCTGCATTGTCCTGAGTGAGAGGTGTAGCAGGACCTCCACTCAAACAGTAATTAACACAGCACAGAGTGAGAAATCAACCTTTGTGCTGACAAGACACTATGATTCTACAGCTCTGTGCTATATTGTACAGCAGCCCATCTGAACTGAATCAGGATTCTAGGAATTTACATAGCTATGCTGATGAGCAGCTTGATACTGTGGAAAGATTATCTGAAGACTATGGAAGTGTCTATGTGTTAGGGCATGGAAGATCATAAGAGGTTGTTGTTGTGGAGAAAGACCACAGACTCTTTAAACTGTGTCTTTAACTGTTTACCAAAAAGCCATGCCTTCAGGAAGATAGGGGCAGGAGAGAATCCACCAACCAGAGCTGGTGACTACCTCATCTGAGGTCTTACACATCAGTTTATTGGTTTCTTTTTGATACTGAAGATATAACACAAGATTCCCTGGCATCTCATACATTTTCAGAAATTGTTTTGGGATCTTGAGGAGAAGGAGCCCCTTGTACTTATAAGTAAACAAATTTGGGGCACCTGGTGGCTTAGTCAGTTGAGCATTTGACTCAGTTTCAGATTAGGTCATGATCTCATGGGTTGTGGGCTCAAACCCTGCATCGGGCTCCTCAGTTGGTGGGGAGTCTGCTTGAAAGATTCTTTCTGCCCCTCCCCCTGCTCATGCTCTCTCTCTCTCTCTAAAAATAAATCTTTTAAAAAAATAAACAAATTTGCAGTAGCATACATTGGAAAAGTGATTCAAGATAACATTTTGAAAATGAAGGGAGTCACAGTCAACAAGATATAGTATACACTTGAGGGGCGCCTGGGTGGCTCAGTCAGTTAAGCATCCAACTCTTGATTTCAGCTCAGGTCATGATCTCAGGGTTGTGAGATTGAGCCCCATGTGGAGCCTGCTTAAGATCTCTCTCTTCCTCTTCCTTTGCCCCTCCCCACCAGTCTCTCTCTCCCTCTAAAAACAAAAAAAAGATATGGTATATATTTGAGAGGAGATTCAGATATTCTTTTAAAACGTCTTCATTTGCAACTTCAGAGTTAACTTTTAGAATAGTAATATAAATATATATATTTTAATTATGGGGGGAAGAAGGTGGTGATTGCCTCATGATTTAGGCAAGCAGAATTCTACAAGGGATATTCATTTCTTCTTTTAAAGAGTACCACCCAGGAAAAAAGATTTTCATGGAACAAAGGTGAAACTTCATGGAAAATAGAGTCACATGGGAAAGGAAAAAGTAAAACTATATTCACAGATGACGTGATCTTGTATATAGAAAGTCCTAAAGAATACATACACACAGAAAAATATAAAAACTAATAAATAATTCAGAATACAAGATCAATATTGTATTTCTATAAAATATGAACAAACCAAAAATGAAATTATGAAAACAATTGCATTCACAATAGTATTAAAAAGAATGAATTGCTTATGAAAAAGAAATTTAAGTGGAAGATTTATACACTAAGCTAAAAAACATCTTTGAAAGAAATTAAAGAAGATTTAAATAAATGGAAAGATATGTTGATGGATTGGAAGACTTAATATTGTTAAGATGGCAATAGTCCACAAACTGATCTATAAATTTAATGCAATTCCTATCAAAATCCCTCCTGAATTTCCTCTCTGCAGAAATTGACAAGCTGATCCCAAAGTTTATGTGGAAATGCATGCAAGGGACCCAGAATAGCCAAAACAATCTTGAAAACAACAGGGGTGCCTAGGTGGCTCAGCTGGTTAAGCATCTGCCTTAGGCTCAGGTCATGATCCCAGAGTACTGGGATCAAGCCCTGAATCGGGCTCCCTGCTAGGCAGGGAGTCTGCTTCTCCCTCTGCCCCTCACGCCACTTCTGCTCTCTCTCTCACTCTCTCTCTCAAATAAATAAATAAAATCTTAAAAAAGAAGACAAAAACCAAAATTGGACCACTCACAATTCCCAAAACTCCCTACGAAGTACAATAGTCAAGACAGTGTGATATTGACATAGGATAGACATACGGGTCAATGAAATAGAATTGAGAGTCTAGAAATAAACCCTATATTTGCTGTTAATAGATTTTCAACAAAGGTGCCAAGATAATTCTATGAGGGAAAGGACAGTCTTTTCAAGAAGTGGAACTGAGACAACTGGATATCTACTGCAAAAGAAAGAAACTGGACTCCTACTTCACACCAATCAAAAATGAACTCAAATGTATCAGAGACCTAAACACGTGGACTAAATATATAAGTCTTGTAGGTGAAACATAAGTGTAAATCTATGTGACCTTGGATGAGGCAATGGTTTCTTTTTTTTTTTTTTAAGATTTATTTATTTTAGAGAGAGAAAGAACGAGGGTGAGTGGAGGGAGGGGCAGAGGGAGGAGAGGGAGAGAATCTCAAGCAGACTCCCCACTGAGCACAGAGCCCCATGTGGGGCTTGATCTCATGACCCTGAGATCATAATCTGAGCTGAACTCAAGAGTTAGATGCTTAATTGACTGAGCCTCAGCAATGGCTTCTTAGACATGGCATCAAAATACAAAAAAGAAAAGAAATAGATAAGTTAGACTTGATTGAAATGAAAAAATTTCGTACTTCAATGGGCATTATTCCAAAAGTGAAAAGACAGCACATGGGAATGGGAGAAAATATTTGTAGATAATATATCTGATAAGGGTTTAGTATTTAGAATATATAAAGAACTCTTACAACTCAATGATAAAAACAAATAACAAAATTAAAATATGGGCAGAGGATTTGAGTAGACATTTCTGCAAAGGAGATACACAAATGTTCACATGGTAGTAGATAGTTGTCCAACAGCAAGAGAGAAGTTCTGTTTTAAGATTGTATTTATTTATTTATTTGACAGGGAGAGAGTGAATGAGAGAGAATGAATGGGGTGGGGAGGGACAGAAGCTGACTCTCTGCTGAGTAGGGAGTCCGCTGCTGCTGTGGGGCTGGATCCAGGACCCTGGGATCACCACCTGAGCCTAAGGCAGACGCTTCATGGACTGAGCCACCCAGATGCCCCAGAACAAGATTTAATTTACAAGCACATGTCAAGCCTGTACTTTGGTCACATTTGTCAATGCCTCATTCACTAAGGACAGACCCATAGCCAACCCCAGATTTATGTACTTGGAAAAATTTAAAAAAACATAAAAAATATAAAATAAATACAAAATATAAAACATCTCTTGATGGAAGAAACCACAAATTATTGTGATAATTTTGTTTTTATCTACTATTCATACCTTCCCTTCTGCCAGTTTATGCCTATTGTTCTTAAGTAATTGTTTATATACTCGCATCACTTTCAGAAGGGATTTAGTTTAATTGATAATTATATGGTCTTTTTTTTTTTTTTAAAGATTTTATTTATTTATTTGACAGACACAGTAAGAGAGGGAACACAAGCAGGGGGAGCGGGAGAGAGAGAAGCAGGCTTCCCGCGGAGCAGGGAGCCTGATGCGGGGCTTGATCCCAGGACCCTGGGATCATGACCTGAGCCGAAGGCAGACGCTTAATGACTGAGCCACCCAGGTGCCCCTGATAATTATATGGTCTTATATAACAAAATGGGCAGGAGACAGAAGTTCCTTGGTATAAATTCCATTTGCCTATCACTTATATTAAGAAATGAAATACTACCTAAACAGAGGAAGCCCCACTGTGCCCCTTCCACATCAAAACCCCTCTCTGTCCTCTCAAAGGGAAACTACTATTTTGAATTTGGGTGTATATACCCAGTACTAGTAATTGATATGGGAGAAGAGGAAAAGATTCACAGTAAATCTGTTTAAAATCAGGACCAAAAATGTATGGTAAATAGTGGGAAAACAAAAAGATTTATGATGTCTTGGAAAATATTTATCAAATATAAGGTTTATTTATTATAAGATCTTACATCTATAATTATAGCTATGTGCTTCGTCTTTGAACAAGGAAAGAATCAAATGTTGATTGAAGAGGCAAAATTATTGTTTGGCAAAATGTAGAAGAGCTGTTTGTAATAGCAAAACATGGAAGCAACTTAAATAGACTCAAGGAGAGTGGATAAATTGTGATATGCCTACACAGACTAACGGAGCAGTGAATTAATGAATTAGAACACATACTCATGTGGCTAAATCTCACAAACTATACTGTGACAAGCCAAGTTGCCAATGAATACATAAGCAATAATATTTTACATTGTTAAGAAGAATCATCCAAAATTTGGAAATAAGGCAAAAGAACAGCAGCATTGTTTAAGAGACCCACCTAAAGCCTCTTTGATTCTCTAGGGAAATGATCTTTTGTTGGGTTTACCACTTACTGGTGCTCAGGGCAAGATTCTATGTGCTTAGATGAACATTCAAAATTGAAAAGTTGCAAATGTTCTTTTGTCCAGTAGACATATAAATTATTTTGGTTGGATAGAAAACATCACTGCAAAACTTATGGTTTTATTGCCTGTTAGAACAGTAACTAGTTTTATATTTAATTTTGCAATCTAACTTCCACATTCTGTCTATCTTTGACTATAAATTCTTCAGTCTCTCCTGTATTCCTTTGCAACAGCTTTAACGCTTTGCGGATTCCCTCATTATATGGGATAAATTCATCTTGACCCGTGCTCATTTTATATTTGTATGAGTCATAGTTTTAAACTTAAAAATCATACTTTGACAATATAAAATGAAAAACATGCAAAACACTGTTATGTATGTTGTGTGTGTTATATATACATACACGTGATAACAGTATAAAGAAGAGCAAAGGAATAATAAACACTAAATTCAAAATAGCAGTTTCCTTTTGAGGGGCTGAAGAGGATATGATCTGGAAGGGACACAGAAGGGAATTCATCTATTTTGGTAATGTTTTATTTCTGAATCCAGTTTTAGGCACATGGGTTTTGTTCTTTTATCCTTTATACCGTTATAACAAAATGGACGTTTATAATAAAAGTTTTAAGTTGTATGGGAGCACAGTAGAGCCTCCTTTCTTTGATGTTTTATCTATGCAGCAATTCACATTGCATGTATTCTGTGTTATCCGATGTGTACTGTAGCTAACACGTTGTCTGATGTATATTGGTTATCCAAGGCATTTGTACTATATTATCTGATTCCTTGCATAATTTTCCAGTTTTATTGAGCAATAATTGACATATATCACTAAGTTTAAGATGTACAGTACGATGGTCTGATTTACATATATTTTGAAATAATTATTGCAATAGGTTTAGTTAATATCCATCATGTCATATAGATACAACAGAAAGAAAACAAAATTTCTCCTTGTGATGAGAACTCCTAGGTTCTACTCTCCTACCAATTTTCCTGGATGTCACACTTCGGTTATAGCTAAAGTCATCCTGCCGTAGCTTACCTGCCTCGCACCTCTTTATCTTATAACTGGAAGCTTGGATTTCTTGACCACCTTCCTCCAATACCCTCTCCCCATCTTCTGTATGATTTTATGACAGGCAGAGATTATTTGTCAAAGCTTTTAACTGGATGAAAGGAAGTTAATGATACATAGATGGGATGTTTGAGTGGGACTATTTTTGTAAATGATCAGGGTGTTTGTGCATATTTTTCTGTTATAAAAACTTCTGTTTCTGCATGCAACCTTGTAACTGTGACTTAAAAAGCAAAAACTAAATAGCAAAAATCATTAGTATGGTAGACATTATATTTAATCTGCAAAACACCTATGTAAAATAGATCTATTATTTCCATTCTCCATGTGATGAAACAGAGGTGCAGAGTCACTGAATTAGCCATTCAGGAGAAATAACAAAAAGGTCCAACCTTCTTGCCTTTTAGCAACTCCTTCCTTCAGGGCTTTAGCGAGTTGAAAAGCAGAAGCATAGGAATTGAAATCTCTTGGCTTTTGTAAGAAAATGTGTTGGTGGGTGGGGGTTGCTTTGGCGGATGGGAGGGGTAACTTTAGTTAGGGGAAGGGAAAGGAGATAAGGGGAGGGACGGAGGGAGGAGAGGGAGGGGCCGGGGAGGGAAGGATTTCTCACCATCTTGGCCAGGTCTGGGAGGCAAAAGGCTACATGGTTTCTGAGGAGGAGCCACCTTACGTATTTAAATACTAATTAGTAATTAACCCACCAATTGGAAAGAGTTAATGCCACTTTAAAAAAAAAACAAAAACCACTCACTTGGCTAATAATTTGCTTATACAATGGGAGGATTGCTTCCATGGTGGGCTTTCTTTTTCCTTGCAGTAAGAAGGAAGGAGTGCCCTAATTTGCTCCTACCTTCTCTTTTGCATACATTAGTGGTTCTTGGTCTATAACCATAAAAAATGTCATAGGAGCAATGATGGAATTTTAAATAAGAGAAAAAGCAAGTGGCCTACTTTTGAATAATAAAAGTTTATAGACCTACACTGAACACCCCCAGATGGGAATAAGCATGCAAAAAAAGTGCTTGAATGAACCTATGATGCTTGTAAAAGAGAGATTTTGACCTCTAACCAGAATACTATTGAAAGCCTGGAAAATAATAATTTACCTTCCCACAGGTAGTCCTGACATTTTTGGCATCTGGCATGAAACTGGAAACATTCTGACAAATTCTGGCCAAGTTCTCCACACGGTCCTCTGTCTTGCACAGGAAACACCTTTGAACTCAGGCTTCCATGGTTAGAATCTGCAGGTAACATAGTGTTTGCACATTAATGTTAGTAGAGTCTGCATTTTAAAGGCATGGACATGATGTCATTTCTTTTTCTTACCAGTTCTTTTAAAATCTTTCTGTCTTCAATCATAGGAGGGCATATTGTGGCAACCATTTGCTAGGACAATTTGACATCTATTAAAAATTGCATGTATTCTTTGATCCAACAATCACATTACTATGATTATTTGTACACTGCCCCCCCTCCGAAAAGTTAATGCATATAATTTTATTTTCTGGAAGAAATCATGAGGAATCTTTTGGAAGAGATACTTGATGGGGTGAGAGAGGACAACCTTCATTTGTTTGTTCTTTTATATATTTGAATTATTTTAAATTTAGTGTGTCTTATTTTTATTATTATTTCTGATGTCAATGGATTAAATAAGGGATTATAGGCCACTTTTCTCTTTGGATTTCTTCCTATTTAAAAATTTTCTAATAATTATTTTAATTTTTTACAGCTATAATTGGGAAGTACACTGGAGTTTCAAAGGTACTGGGAATGTCTGTTTCTAAAGCTGGGTGGTAGGCATTTACTTTCTTACTATTACTTTTACATTTCATATATATATAATGTTATGAACAATGGGTCAAAGATTTAGGAAAACATCTAAAGCTGATCAACTTTTGAGAAACCCTTTTTTTTTTCTGGAAGAATTAAAAATTCATATGAAAATGATGATGTAAAAAAGAAGTCTGTCCAACAGAAAATTGACAGTTCTTAACTGAGTGTTTGATATTAGGAAACGTTTATTATTAATTTACAACATTTTAAAATGAAACATTTCATTTTGAGATGAATTGTGAAGTCTGTTGCTTAAAAACTGGAGGCACTGGTTAGATCACGTGGTCTGTAAGGTAACCGTCTCCTTTTGTTGAATAGAAAGTCATGGCCTTCCAGCTGCCTCCCTGAACTGTCCCCTGTCACCCCCCAGAACCCCTGTGAGGAGTTCTGCTATAGAGCTTGTCTCTGCTTTTTGTACTGTTTGCTTTCTTATCTTGTCTGTTAGACGACCCCCCAACACACACACTGAGAGAAGGGATTTGGCCTTGTCATTTGAAATCATGCCATTCTTCCGTACCTTCTTCTGTCATTTTTGCTTACAATATGGTAATGAAGGTAATGTAATTGTCCAGTGATCTGTTTTCCTTTCTCTGGACTGAGCTCCTAAAAGGGACTGTGTCATAATCATTGTCTTATTCCCAGCATCTAGATTAATATCTGGTATATAGATCAGGGATGGCAAATTCCAGGACCATTCGATACCAATTCCTCATCCTGTGCATGGCAGTAACCCATCCCAGAACCTCCAGACCCCTCTAGGCAGCTACCTCTGGTGCCGTCACTCTTATCAACCATCTACTCTCCCCACCTGCCTCTGTCTCCCCACCCCACTCAAAGGGAAAATTAAAGTCAAAATGCTCTCTAAGGTAGGATTAGAACTCATATCTCCCAGCATCCAGCACTGCACCAAGCTACCACACCATGCAGATCTACTGCACACGATCTTCTCTAACCTTTCCAGGGATTTATAAAGCAAGAGAGGACAACTACAAGAGCTATTTTATTCTCTTTCAACAGATTCTGGAACTGAAGTTTAGAAAGACCAAAGTAGGAAAGAAATTCTCCCATATGAAGACTAAAATGAAACCCACACTCAATCAAATAAAAATATTAAAAACCGAAATATTTCAGATTTTTTTTACTAAGTAGGCTCCATGCCCATTGTGGGAGCCCAACACGGGGCTTAAACTCACAACCCTGAGATCAAGACCTGAGCTGAGATCAAGAGTTGGATGATTGGGGGGCGCCTGGGTGGCTCAGTCGTTAAGCGTCTGCCTTCAGCTCAGGTCATGATCCCAGGGTCCTGGGATCGAGCCCTGCATCGGGCTCCCT